TCCTTTTCTATGTTTTGGAATACTTTGAGTAGGATTGGTATCACTTCTTCTCTGAATGTTTTATAGAATTCTCCAGTGAAACCATCTGGGCCAGGACTTTTTTTAGTTGGTAATTTTTTGATGACCTATTCGAAAGTCACATTCTTAAGGAGACCTGTCCTCACATTGTAGTGGGCTTCTTCTAGTCATTCTCGATCTTAGCACTTATTTATTTTTTTTCCCTTGCATTTATCAGAATTTGTGATTGTTAATATTAACTTTGTAAATATTTCTTTCTCTTTCCCACTATTAGGATGTAAGATTCACAAGGACCAGGGCTTGACTTCTTTGTTCAGTGTGCCTTCCATGACCCCAGCACAATGCCTGACACACAGTGTTCCCTTGAGAAATACTTGCTGGATGAAAGGCCAAACAGGAATCCAAACCAAACCAACTGTCTCACAGTTAGTTCTGACTCATGGAGACCTCTTGTGTGTGAGGATAGAACTGTGCTCCTTGGGGTTTTTAGCGACTGATGTTTCAGAAGTGTTTCACTAGGACTTTCTTCCATGTTATCGCTGGATGCGTTTGAACTGTCATCTGCTTAGTTAGCAGATAACATTAACTGTTTGTACAACCAAGGGACTCTTTGGAGTTGCCCACCAGGTTTCAAATCCCAGCTATGCCACTTAAGTGTACACATAAATTTCCCTCTGTAGTTCCTACATTCATCATCCATAAAATGACCGTGATAACACTTGCCCACATTATCTCCCAGAGCTATCGTGGGAGCCAATTGAGATAACTAGTGTGGTAACGCTTTGCAGCTGTGAATCCATTTCCTTCCCTTTGCTCATCCAGAACTGTGCCAAGAGGCCTCATCTGGGGAAGTCTTCCTGCTGGCTTCTGCAGCCCTTGCCAACATCACCTTCTTTGATACCATGGCCTGTGAGATGCTCCTGCAGCTGAATGCCATCCGTGTTCTCCTGGAAGCCTGCAGTGACAAGCAGAGAGTGGACACGCCTTACACCCGGGACCAGGTGAGAAGCTCAGGAGGGAGCAGGCCCACGGCTTGTAACCATGTAGATATCAGTGGGCAGCAGCCAGGGCTTAGGTCCTGGGGGTAGGGAAGACAACACAGCCGAGCAGCACATGGTTGCCCTGTCAGTCCCTTTCTCTGGCACTCTGAGCCTTGAATTCTGTAGGAAGGTGAAAACATACATTCTCAGCATCTTTCATATCCTTGGAGCATGTCTAAGTTCGACTCCTCTTTTCTTGTCCCAACCATCCAGACCTGTCCATCCTAGGTCCCTGGGACTCCTCAGAAGGTCTGTGTCCTATCTACAGTGTACCCAAAAAAAGCAAAGCTTGGAGCAGAGGGTTGAGCTTCACACAAGGTTTTATTTGGGGAAAATGGGTTTTACTACTAAAAATGGTTGAAAACATTAAATGATAGGGTTTTAAAGGACTTTAAACTCTGATGTTCTAGAATTCTATCCCATCTCACCTCTGCCTCACTCTGCCTCCCCTTTCACCACAAAGTGGTGAGGGTGGATCAGGTGGGTTTTAGGTCTCTGTAAATTCAACCAGGTGCCTGAGCTTTATGTTAGGCGATCCTCATAACTCTCAAATCAGGTCAGCCCTGCCTGCAACTTAGCCTCCCTGCCCCATCTGTTATTTCCAGCCTCAGCACTTAGCTGAAGCCACCACAACGTTGATTTCCAGCTCCTGCTAAACCTCTCAAAGAAAGTCTTTCCTAATCACTCTAGCATTCGGGAATTGTCTCTTTTCTTAAAGTCAAAACCTCACAATTCAGTGTTTACTTATCTAATGATATTTATTCTTCCTTAATTATTTCATGTGAGTCTTTTTATTTTCCCTGAGGGCATGGCTCATGTTCTATTGGTGCCGCTGCTGCTGCTGCTGTTAGCTCCATGGAGTCAGCCCCAACTCCTGGTGACTACGGGATTGGATTGTTGTGAGCCATGTGGTTTTCATTGCTGACTTTTGAAAGTAGATCACCAGGCCTTTCTTCCTTCTCTGAATCTGGAAACTCAAGTGACCCCTTTCAGCATTGTAGCAACCCCCAAGCTCTACTGACAGATGGGTAGTGGCTGAACATGAAGTGCATTGGTTGAGAATCAGACCTGGGTCTCCTGCATGGAAGGTGAGCATTCTAATACTGCTTACCACCATTTACCTCCCATGTTCTTTCCCCAGTATTTCTTAAGGCCTCTAGCCCAGAGCTGGAGCCCATGAAAAAAATTCCCAATTGTTTGTTTGGGGCATAAAAGGGAATAAATAAGACGATGCTTCATCTGTTGTTTATTATCCTTAGGATTAACTTTTGAAGGGCAGCTGGCCAGAGAAACTCCCAATCAGTCAGAATTTTCTAGTATAGAAGCATTGACATATAATGGTTATAAAAATCCTTTGAGGTTGGTGATACTTATCCCATTTTATAGAGAAGAGGCTCACAGAGGATGTCCCCAAATAGTATGGTTGGAAGTATCTAGCTAACATTTGCATTCTGGCCTCACTTAGACCTTAACCTTTGACCTTCATCTGCTGGCATCTTAGAAATTGAAGTGAAAGAGGGTATGAAGCTGTGGGGTCAAAGAGACTGGGTGTTGATCCTGCCCTGGCTGTTTATTAACTGGTGACCTTGGGTGAGTCTTAACCTCTTGAGTGTTGGCTTTCTCCTCTATTCATTAGTAAATTAATGCCTATTGTGCAGGGTTATTGTGAAGAGAGCTAATACAAATAAAGAGCCTAATACAATGCTTATGTCCTACTAAGTTCTTGATAAATGCTGAATATCATTGATCTCAAACCCGATGCTCCAGGGAAGAACACAAAGAATGAATTATCCAAAATCTTCAACTTGGCCTTCCAAGATATCCATAATATCTTTTCCTAGTCTAATCTCCCATTTCTTAGAGTTGAACAAGTTATTGCCCTCACCCCATAGTGACAAGGTATGACAGTATGGACAGATAAAGAGTGGTTGCCACTGTCCTGACTGTTGGTCTGATTGGCTCATAGCCCTCGGGTGTGGAGAAGGAGGCTGCAAGGGCCACATTGTGTGGTCTCCCTTGCGCACGCCCTTTTCTTCTTCAGCTAGACATCTCCAGGTTCTGTGTTTCTCACCTATTGAACACGATTGTAAGTCCCTTCACCTTCAAATGCCTTACCTGTGGCTGACTCTGGTCAGTTCGTACAAGATTCGATAGTGAGACAATAAAAATAGAGAATTGTGGAGTCAGATGACCTGGGTTCAAAGCTTCTCTGCTATTAATAACTGTGTAGCTTTGGACCTTTATTCTGAGCCTCACCAGTGAAGTGGGATTGAATAATACATGCTTCACAAAGTTAAAAAGAATTTACTAATGAAGATAAATTCTTGGTACAATTGCTGGCATATAAAATCAGTTGCTGCCAAGTCAGCCCTGGCTCATGGTGGCCCCAGGTGAGCTAGAGTAGAACGATGCTCCATAGGGTTTTCAATGGCTGATATTTTAGAAGTAGGTTGACAGGCCTTTCTTCCAAGGTACCTCTGGATGGACTCAAACGTCCAGCCTTTTGGTTGGTGGCTGAGAGTGTTAACTATCTGCATCACCCAAGGACTCCTCCTGGCACACAGAAACTGTGGAAGCCACTGGCTATGTTATTTTTTTATTTTTATTTTTATTAGGATTTGGGTGAAGATTTAGAGAGTAAATTCACTTTTCATACAGCAGTTCACATAAACTTTGTCTCATGTCATTGACCAAAATTTACAATGCAGCAGCTCCCCTCCCACTTCCTCCCCATAGTTACCTCCTCCCAGTGTCCATCCCTTCATACT